GCTTTCAGGGACAACATGACTATGCTGGTGCACCAGGAAGGCCACAGGGGTGAAAACTGTATCAGTGCAATGAGTGTGGGAAAGCCTTTAGGAAGAGCTCGGCTCTCATCAGTCACCAAAAAGTGCACCCAGAAGAGAAGCCCATTACTGAACCAAGTGCAGAAATCTTGCCGGGGCAGCTCCTCATTGTTGGGCACTGTGGACAAGCCCTGTCAGTGCAGGGCTGGTGGGAAAGCTTTCATGGAGTTTAACTTGCACTGGACATCAGAGAACTCACACTGGAGAAAAATCCTGTCACTGCATGAGGCGTGGCACAGTGCCTGCTGAACACCAGTGGCTCCACGCTGGAGAACAGCTTCGTAAATGGAATGAATATGGAATGTTTTGCTCCAGAGTTCAGCCTGTACACAACGTAAGAAAACTGGGAACCAAGGAAGAGCCACTGGATGTAGTTACGCAGGTAAATCACGCAGAAGCACTTTATTTCCTCTAACCATCAAAGAGGAGACATTCAAAGAATTACAAGTTTAATAAGGATGTATACCTGTTGGAGTCAATTTCTTACTTGTGAGGATGTTCACTGTGTGGTTTGCATGAGTGAGGTATTTGAAGAATGTAAATTGGTGTGAGAATACTATCACTAGAGTTGTGTACCGATGCAAAACAATGAGGCAGAATTGTGAGTCAGCAGCAGCAACAGCCCTGTCACACCTCGGGTTAAACACAGCAGGGCTGTGTGGCTGGGTGGCGCTGAGCACTGAGGCAGGAAAATTTTAGGCCAGCACGTGAGAGGCTCCCCAGCACCTCAAAAACAATGAAAGCAAGTTTTGGAAAATCAGTATGTTGTGTAAAGATATGGACAGCTATTTCAAAGAGAACGAGAGACATTATGGTAGCCATTGTTGACTTCCCTATTGCCTGGTTTTGAAGACCTAAAATGCCTTCATCATCCTGTTCTGATTAGTTTAGTACTATATTGTTCAATATGTATTCACTGTGTGTGAAGATGTGGACAACTATTTGGAAGAAAACAAGAGACAATATGACAGACAGTGAAGATCTCCAGTGGTCTTGCTTTGAAATCTGTGTTTCTTAAAATTGTTTCCTTATGATCTGTTTTGTTGTTTCATTTTACCCTCTTTAAAATAAAAAAAAGAAAACCAGTATGTTATAGTCTTATTTATATTTTTAAAAAGCTATTCTTTCGTATTTATACATATGCATTGTATGCATTCAAAAAGACCTGATAAACAGAGGTAATACAGAAACTTTAACTGTAGTTCTATTTGAGGATGATATGGTATTGGTATGATAAGGCCAAATTTTACTTTGTGTTCTTTGAAATATTTAATCAAACATACATTAACATATCATCTGTAATTTAATATAGTTGTCTAATTTAGAAATTTAGAAGCCATAAAAATAAAATTAAAAAACACATTAAAACTAAAACATTTTATATGACCACAGACTCTGAGAAAATATTACCAGCATCATAGTTAACAAATACAGCGAGTGCTTAAAAATATGAGAAAAATAGCCGGGCGTGGTGGCTCACGCCTGTAATCCCAGCACTCGGGAGGCTGAGGCAGGAGGATCGTTGCGAGTTCGAGACCAGCCTAGGCTACAAAGTGAGCTCAAGGCCAGCCTGAACTGCACAGCAAGACCCTGTCTCAAAAAAAAAAAAAAATGAGAAAAATAAAAGTCCCAGTAGAAAATGGTCTTGGATGTGATTGTGCCATTGTTAGGAAAAGAAACCCAACTGGTCAAACTAAAAAGAGATAGTACCTACAGAGGAGAGTGAATTAGGGTACTCAGATTTCTGTGTGTTTGTAGGACAAAAATTAATAAACGACAATATTTTGTGCTTTTGAGAGTGTAACAATATAGGCACACTTGCATATGAAATTATGGTGCATATGAAATATATTTTATATACGAAATATAAATATATGAAATATTTGGTGCATATGAAATATATGCATATGAAAATATGGTGGTGAGAAACATAATTTGTACCAATGTACTTTCAACTGTACTTCAATCTACCAACTTTGACCCTGTAACTTCCCTGCCTATTAAGAGTTAATAAAAGCCAGGCATTCTGGCACATACCTGTAACCTCAGCACTTGGGAGCACAGAGGCAGGAGGGCTGTAAAGCCAGCCTGGCCTGTATAGCAAGACCCTGTCCTGAACTGAACTGAACCAAACCAGAAGTAGAGATGGTCTTTACAGGATTGTACTAAAGAAAAGCTGCAGTAATTGTAATGTCCGTAATACAGCGATAGTCAAATCAAGATATATGCTTCCTGGGCCAGGAGGTAGCTCGGTGGCACAGTGCCTGCCTGGTACAGGCAAACAAAAAAACCCTTTAAAAAGATGCACTTTGCCATTTAATAATTAAAAGGCAGTCCTTAAATCAATTACTATTTGATAAATTAGACTTGTGTGAACTGACAGAAAGATGTCTAAAACACTTACAAAAGCTGAAACATAATAGTATAATGTCCTCCCTTGGTAGTTTATAAAAGTATATCATGGATAGAGTTTAAAATACAAAAGCAAATTTATAGAATAAAGAGACACATTTATTCTAGCAGCCCTAGGAAATGGATGTACTTGGGTTACTCCTGAGGACCCTGCCCTTGTGTATTCCTCCCCAAGTGTATGTGACCCACATGATGGACGTCACTATGATTCAGCTACATGTGTCTGTGTTCTTAGTAGACTGTAAAGACAAACTGAATTTGTTTGACTTAGAAGCAAACTGTAATATGATGGCAGAAAACTTCCAGGCACCTAAGAAAAACTTTGGCCAAGGGGCTGGGGATTTAGCTCAGCGGCATAAGCGCCTGCCTTGTAGGCAGGCAGTTGTGAGTTTGATCCCTGGTACCGAAAAGATTTAAAAACAAACAAACAAACAAAAAAAAACCACTTTGGCCAAGAGCCAAGAAGAAATTTGGACCTTTAATTTTACAAGGAAAACGTATTCTGCCACTACCTGAGTGGGCTTAGGAGAGGACCTATCTTCTCCATCCAGAGTCCAGACAGAACATGGTGTGATTGACAAATTAGGAGTCAGTGTTCAGCAGGGCTGAAGTCACATGAAGCTGTCTTGCCTGGATGTCTGCAGCGGCTGAATTTTGCACAGCTTCGAGTTCATGCCAGCTCTTTTGGACTTGTGACTCTGAACTTGTGACTAGCATGCTTACATGCAACTTACAGGTTATAATGTTTTCAGGATAGTTGGGCTCTTTACATGGTGCCAGATTTTTCCTATAGCAAGAGTCCCAGGAAGGCAGGAAAGCTTTTCAGACCTTAGAAGTCATAGAGTATCACTTTTTTTTTTTATCGGTACCAGGGATCGAACTCACGACTGCCTGCTTGCAAGGCAGGCGCTTATGCCACTGAGCTAAATCCCCAGCCCTAGAGTACCACTTCTGTTGTTTCTATTGTTTGAAGCTTGTTCAGATCAAGGAGAGGTGACACTATCTTTCCATGGGTAAATTTGCTCTTATCCTTCTTAAAGTATACATTACATATAATAAACATACAGATCTTCAGTGCTGAATTCAATTGTACAGACAGATTCAATTGTACATGAGTCTATCACCTGAAATAAGATATACATTTTTAATACTATAAAAAGTTCTGTGTCTAAGTCAATAGTTATTCTGTGAAGTTGTAAGAATGAAATTATACATTTGTGTGCACATGTATGTTTGTGTGAATGTACTTAGGTTCTTCTATTCAAAATATGGCTCTGACACATACATACATTAACCCTATCAGCTGTTTACCGTTTTCCACTGTGGACTGAACTCAGTGCTGGACCACTGAGCTACATCCATCGCCAGCCCTTTTTATTTTTTGAGACAGTGTCTAAGTGCCCCAACTTGGTTTGCAACTTGGTCTCCTGCTCCAGCTTCCAGAGTAACTGGGATTATAGAAGAGTGTCACTGTGCCTGGGTACTTGTTCGCTTTTTATTGATGGCTTGAATTCACTGTATGCCTCTAGTTTATTCACCTCTCATCTCTTGTTGGGGCCTTATTTCCACTGTGGCTCTTATGAATGAGCATGTTAAGAACACTTTGTGTGCATCTTCTAATGTTACCAGAGTATCTGACAGTACTATTTTCTTACTAATCAAATCTATAGTGTTTCAATACCCAGACTTTCAATGCAAATTTCTTCTCCAGACGATAAAAGATCTGCGATCATGAGCTTTATTTTTATTTATTTTTAATGTGGTCCTGGGATTAATTCCAGGGCCTTTGCAGTGAACTACCTCCCCAGTCACTCTCTCCTGCCTTTTTTTTTTCTTTAGATTCTGGGAGCGTCTTGCTAAATTGGTAAGCTGCCCAGGCCAGGCTCAAATTTGTGATCGTCCTGTTTCACCCTTCCATGTCGTGAACTTAGTTTATGGATTTGCTAGGAACTGACACTCTACTCTTCATCATTCACCATTTTACTTAATATAAATGCTCAGCATGAAAAGTTATAGAGACGGAAAAAATGGAAAATCAACTTTTCTTCAAGTCTTATCCCCTACAGGTTAAAAAAGTTAATTTTATTCTGTGGAGGAAGACAGCACTGTTGTAGAACTTCAGGGATTTCAAACTTTTGTAGGCTTGGAAAGAAAACTTGTATAAGAAAAGGCTAGGGTGTTTACTATAAACAGGAGTGGTGTAGCACAAGGTACTGGGATAATAATTTTTTATTGAGATAATTAAAAGTTCAATAAAATAATAAAGCAATTAAATTTTCCCTCTGCATTCTGGCCACGGATTGTGAATGTAAAACAGGATTGATAATAAATATGTAGGAAGTAAAGGACACTGAGATTAACAAGAGGATGATTCTTTTTTGGCATCAACTATAAATTTAAAACCTGTATCTGCTATATTCAGTATAATCTCTAGGGTGGCACGAGATTAGTCAGGGTACCTTGAGAAATTCAGTCAAAATGAACTAACAGAAATTATGAAAAATACAGGGTAATGATAAACAAGACATTTATTTTTCATATTTATCTGGGGAAAAGGAAAAAAGTCAGTTTATCCTACCCAACACTGGTCTTCGTAGAAGATTCTCCATTCATTCCATGCCATTGGCTAGGCTATGTGATTGCAGAGGGTTTTGCACTCTTAATTCATAAAGCAAACTTCTTTTAATCCATACAGAGAACTTCCTGTGAAGAAAGTCAAAGGGTGAGCCTCTGTGAGCAGCTTCGCTGGTGCACGGCCAGACTCCCTCTCTGAGTGAAGCTTTTTCCACACTGGCCGCACAGGTAAGGTGCCTCTCCTGTGTGGACTTTGCCATGCAGAACACAATTCCCTCTGGTGTGGAAGCTCTTTCTACACTGGGCACAGGCGTAGGGCTTCAGGCCTGTGTGTACCCGGATGTGAACAATCAGGCTACCTTTCTGACTGAAGGCTTTCCCACACTGGTCACATCTGTAGGGCTTTTCACCACTGTGAACTCTTCGGTGAACAGCAAGGTTACTTTGATTCCTGAAGCTTCTCTGGCAAATGGCACACTCATAGGGTTTCTGTCCAGTGTGGAGTCTCTCATGGACGGCCAGACTGCCTCGCTGACTAAAGCTTTTCCCACACTCTTTGCACTGATAGGGCTTCTCTCCTGTGTGTACTCGCTGGTGGGTAACAAGATTGCCTTTGGCCCGGAAGCTTTTTCCGCAATGGGTACACTCAAAGGGCTTTTGACCAGTGTGGATTCTCTCGTGTAACGTCAGGCTACCTTTTTGCCGGAAGGTCTTGCCGCAGTCCTGGCATTCATAAACCTTCTGTCTCATTCCAGGGGAATCTTCCTGGAGTGTCTTAGAATCTGGGGACTTCTGTTCCAGCTTCTCTCTTCTGAAAGCATTCTGGAAATCCCAACTGGAGGATCCTGTGGCCTCAGAGTGATCATATTTGTGGTGGGCTTCTGTCATCACATCTGGTAAGATGAGAGGGAAGTCATGTGAGATGCACCCATATACTGAGTGAGAATAGGAAAAATCGTGATGCTCAATACTCACTGTGTGGTAGGCATTAAACTGTGAACTCTGCTAGATAATTTACTCCTGAAAGCAATGAGATTGCTACAGATAAGGGAATGAGAACATATGGGAGGTGCCAAAAGTCACAACCTTACAGAAATTAGGGTTGCAATTCAAACACTGGTGAGCTCCACAGCCATGTATTATCTCCAATTTAAATATAGCCATCTTTTGAGGTAGGCATGATTATCATTACAGGTAAGAGAAGAAGCTCAAAAAATTAAGGAAACTATACAGGTCTATGCCCAAGTTTTATCTGACTCCCAAACAGGTGTGGATCTAGGGTCTAAAGCTATAAAATTTCTAGTGGAACTCCTCAAAAAGTAAAAAGAGAAAAGTCCTCAAAGAGACCAAAGCCAATAAAGTGTTCAGAGGCTTGAGGTGCAATCAGCTTTCTGGGAAATCCATCCTATTCTATTGTTCTCTTGCCAGTGGAGTAAGTTTATAACCTCAGAAAATATGAAGCAGAATCCTGAGTATTTCTTTTATGTATCATCTCTTAACTCTGCAATCCTACCAGCTTATTGACCCATTGAAGAGCCTAGAGCTTAAGAAAGTTAAGTAACTTATCTGATATTGTAAACCTGCTCATGGCAATTACAGAATCTGATTGAAGGAAATTTTTCTTTTAAAATCCATGCTGTTTTCAATCTATTATGTTAGAATGGAACTGAAATTAACTTTGGTATCACAATTATTTCTTAACCACTTTCTTTGTATGCAGCCTTTTTTCCCCTTGTAGTACTAGGGATTAAACCTTTGCACTGTGCAACATCTGTAGCATTAAAAAGATTTTTTTTAATTTAAATTTTTAAATTTTAAAGATGGAGTCTGGCTAAATCACTAAGTTGTCTAGGCTGGGTCTGCACCTGAAATCTCCTGCCTTAGATTCCCAAAGTGCTGGGATTAACAGGCATGCAACACTGTATCAAGCTTCATCTGCACCTACTGGCAGTATTTTGCCCTGTATCTGAGACTCCGAGTGTGCTTTAAATATGAGTCTGTTTACCGATATACCAGTTTCCTTGGTGTCACCCTCGTCACCTACCTTATTCTTGTTCAGTGATGGGACCGAATTCCAGGTGCCCAGTCATTCTCATTCCACCTCAAGACTCCCCCTGCATCAGGACTGCGCCCTCCCTTGGTTTACTGTTACTTTAACTGTAGCTGGTTGGTTTTTCTTGAGACCCAGGGAACAGGGAGCACCCCCGTAGGAATGTTTCTTCTGCATCCTCAGACTATGGCCAGTGCTAAGGGCAGGGACCCTGAGTATTTGAGAGCTGAGGGAATCCCAGAACCAGCTGACTCACTGAAAAATGCTACATTCTGAGCATATCTCCCATGACAGTCCAGCAGGGTAGCTGTTGGAAATCCAAACATGTCCACTCCTTGTCTGAGACCTTAATCACCACTTCATCAGATGATTCTTCCATGGGCTATTCTTGAGCACCTAGGGGCAGGGGACAAACAAAATAACAAAAACATGAAAGGGCAGAATTGATAAGTGAGAAGGATGTATTTAACAGAGGCTCCAGTGTGGGGGTGTGAGTGGAAACAGGAAATCTGGATTGCTTGATCTAATGTCAGTCACCTAAAATGTCACTACAATAGAGTTCAAAGATAGGATAACACAAAAACAAATCCAGAAGGAAATATGAGGTGGAAAACCATGAACATATAAACATGCGTTTGCTCCTGCTGACCCATTAATGGTCACTTCTGTTTGTCTTTGCTCTTGGCATGAAACTTGGATCCTCTACTTCCTATTTAACTGTTTATTTTTTCCTCCAAGCCCCAGGGGGTTAATAATCTAAAAGCCAGCATTTCAACCTTCATGCTTGCTCCACGGTGGAGTAATTCCAGCTGTTTTCATTTCCCTAGGGTTATGAGACCCATGCAACGGCCTTTTAACCCTCGTTAGGAAGTTCTAAACCCAGACCCATCCCTCTCCTCTCCGTTTTCTCCCTTTAGAAGATTTCTTACTTGGAACCCTTGTACTGAATTGTTGCACTTTAAAATGGTTCAATGTGTGACCTTTGTTTCCCCTAATGTTCCCATCAAATGCTGGACTCCGGTTGAAAGAATTAGCAATATGGCTGTACCATTCTTTGTCAACCGAGTACCTGGTGCTTTTTGACAACTGCAGGTTCAGATGTACGTTGTGGTGATCAAGAGCTCTTTTTGGAGATTTCGTTTCCAACGTAAAACACAAGCTACTAAGGAGGCCCCTGTTAAAAGTGCCGGCACGCTCGCCTGGAAGTTCACGGTATACCGATCAACACCTGCACATCCAGACAGTGGAAATGTCCAGTAGATGGTACCTGCTGCTTGGTGCCTGACTCTTGTCACTAGAGATTCCAGAAAATAGGATTTAGTCTCAACAAGTGGGTGGTACTGACAGTTCTACCTCTCCGCCTGCTGTGAGATCTCCAACAGAAACACCTGGCATCCTCTGGAGCCTCTCTGATTAAAAGAACTTGTCAAAGGGTTCTCCGTTGATCACAGGTATAAGTAATCAAATTCTCGAAGATCTTGGAAACTGTGGTTTTGTAATAGAAATATTTCTTTCCCTACTAGAAATGCTATTTTATCCTCTGGAGAACGCTCAGAATGAGAACCTGGATACCCGCCTGGCTCCCCAGTGTGTGACAAGGGATCACACCCTCCTGCCTCTGCCTCCTCCTCATTACTTAAAAGGTTGACAGCACTCACTGTCTTACCAGGTAGCTCCCGGGACAGTAAAGACTCAAACGGATTTCCGACACGGCCTGCAGGTTTTAGGCCTAACGTCTTGAGTTCTCAGAACAGCTGGGCCAGAGCAGGTCACACTTCGCGCGTGGAGAAACTTGGGGATGGCTCCAAGGACCAGCAGCTTCCGGGTGGGCTGATTCTCCCCACCTCCGGCTCCCGCACTCCAAGTCCCCCAGGGGCTTCCCTGTCTGTCCCCGTGCCGCCTCTGCTCATCCCGCCCCGCTACGCTCGGCCCCCGCTGATCTCTCCTTCCGCGGAACCCAGCGCGTTCCGCATCCGGAACTCGGGCCCCGATCTCCGGCCCCGAGGCCCTCGTCGGCGGGCGGGCCTCTGCCCCCTGGCCCGGGCAGGCCTGGTTCGCTCGAGCCCGCGCCCCGGGCCCGGGGCAGCGGCGGCCCCGCCTCGTCAGGCGCGCTGACCGGCTACGGCCTCACTCACCGCAGCGGCGCGCACTCGCAGGCAGACAAAGCCGGCGCGGATCCCAAGGCATAGGGGCGCGCTGTCGACCACAGTTCCCAGGAGCCCCTGCGCGGCGGACCACGGCTCCCAGGAGCCTCTGCGCAGTGTGCTGCTGCCCTCAAGAGCTTGCGCGCAACCGACCACAATTCCCAGGAGCCCCCGCGTGGCCCGGGGCACTGTGGGAGATGTGGTCTGGTGCGCGGTGAGTGCCTTCTGGGTTGAGAGTGCTGATTTGGAAACTGACAGTAAAAGTTGCTGACCGCGTGTCCTGGGTTCAGGGTTTTGGGAAACGCGGCCGGTAGGGCCTCAGCTTCTTAGATATCATGCGTTGAGCCGCTGCTTGGGTGTTTTGTGACTAGGGCTCAGAGCTGGGAGCGGACGTTTCAGACGATGGATTTGGGATCCCCATGTGGCTTTTTAACGACAATCCTCGCAGGTGAGAGAGGTCGTCCAGCGACGGAAAGGAATGGCCTGGGTTTGTGTGGAGTTTCGCTGATGAGTTGCAGGCCGTGGGTATCTCACTAGGAGGTGAAAAGTTACAAGGATTGCAAAAGGAGACTGCCTCAGCCTCCCTCGAATGCATTTCTATAGGACACCAGACTCATCCTACAGCCCTTTTGCCTGGCGGACATCGCCAGAAATCCCTCCTCCTACCAGTGGATTTGTCACCCTACTGGAACTTTAAAGAGACTGTTTCCTCTTGATGTGTCCTTGTCTACCCTAAAGCTACACATCTGTTAGATAAAACAGTTCAATTTTACAGAATATATTTTTGGGCCGTGTAAATTGTGGTGATTCATAAATGTTAATTATTACTATTAATAACATCAGTACTGAAATTTCTTGAACATATATTTGTCGAGCCCCTTTGAAGTATCAGGGCTGTGCTGAGTGTTGGCCACTCAAATGATGTCCTCTGCTCCTTGGGACATCATTGACAATCTGGTTGGGAAAAGAAGAATACCTTTCTGACACCTGGACCGGAAGGCTAGTCCTGGGGTGTGTAGTGCAAACTGCTTGGAAACTCACGACTCCTAGATGGTGCCTTAGCACCATGGCCAAGCTCCCTGGGGTCCCACCTCCCAGTCACCTCTCTGTCCCTCCTTTAGAGAGCCACAGGCACTTCTTCTATTCTTCAGACTAAAAAGCACACAGCAACACCAGTGTGGTTTTCTGAAGAGGGTAGTGCTGTGTGACCTCCTCCCTCCTCCACAAGGCTCTGCATGGGTAAGGGACTGTATTCTCTGACTTGTCAGATGGTGTGACAAGCAGCACGATGTGCCTTGAAACCAGTGTAGGGGTATGTGGATCCTGTGAGTTCAAGGCCAGCTGTGGGCCAGGGATAAACTTCAGACCCTGCCATCGGAGTGGTTGATAAAGCTTTGGTGGGGAAAAAAGTGGCTGTGGAAGGCAACTGTAGTCATATTTCTCTCATAAATCTGTAAAAATTCTCTTAAGGGATCTTGGGAAAGTGTACACATTGAATGGAAAGTGAGGGAGAGAGTGGTGAGGACTGAGGTTGATGAGAACTAATTCTCCCTGGACACTTACGGTCTTTCCAGACCCTAAATGAGCACGGTCTTTGGCCACTGCCTGCATCTTAAGGCAGTTACCTCACAGGAATGTGGAGCTAAAAGCCTGTCAAATGGCTATCCTCCCACCTCGTAGACATTTCAAAATATTTAGGGAAGGAAAGATAATTCAATAAATGGTGTCATGACAAAAGACTAGAGATGGGGGCAGGTGAAGTTAAATGTTTACCTAACTTCCATGCCAATGTAGCTTGCAGAAAGATTAAATATAGAATGTGAAACACAGACCCATAAGGGGCCAGAAGAACATATGGATTAATATTTTTGCAATCTTGGCATCAGAAAGGCTTTCCTAACCTTAGCAACAAAGGTAGAAACAACAAAGAAGAAAAATTAAAATCCAGCACTTCTGTGTGGCCCAAACACTGGTAAGTGAAATTAACACATGACAGGCTGGGAAAATATTTGCAACTGTCACATTTAGAGACACCATACAAATCAATAAGAAAAAAGCTCTCCAACGTTTCAGTGGAAATGTGGCCAAGGACAGCAACGTTATGAGGAAAAATACTCTGATTTACTGTTCAGTTTTAAGTGCCAATTGAAACAACGAAAAATTTTCCTCTAACTACCGAATGGCAGCCTGCGGAGGAAAAGGGGAGTAGGAAAATGGACATTTTTATCTATGTGTAAATTGAGGCCATCATTCTGATTAGACATTTGGCACTATGTATCAGAAATCTTAAAATGTCTACACTATCATTTCTAGAATTATTTTCCTCAGGAGAATGAAGTCAAATAATTATAGCCTAAGTGAGGAATGAGGGCTGTGGGGTCCAGCTCTCTGAGGTGAGTTATTGGCTTGGAAAGGACTCTTGGACTGTGTGTTCCAGAAAGTCCCATGAAAACTCCAAGCTCACGGGAAACTGACGCCCTCACTTGCTGCTGTACCTCTGTACACTTAGGTCTGGAGCGGTGCTGTGCATATCCACCCTTCTGGGAAGGTCCATCAGGACAGTTTCCTTTGTGCCTCACATATGTGTCTATTTCAGTCCCATTCTGAAAGATACGCTGCCTCTAGAAACTGTGTGTAGCCCCTGCCCACAACCACTGTACCTTCACAGAACCAAGCAGCCTTCCATGTCTCCCGAGCACCCATTCTTTAGTGCTGGGGAGGAACGGGTTCCCTCTCAAACTCCTCCCTGCTCAGCAACCAGGTTCCGATCCCTAGGATAAGGGGATCTATGCTTTGGTGTAGGTCTGTGGAAACTCTAGTGGGCCAGAGCTGCCAAGTGTCTTATTTGCAAGGCTGGAAGGCATGCTGGCTTCTGCTTGGACAAGTGGTCCCACTCGCTGAAGCTGCCGCTGTCCCTTTGGGTAAATGTGTCTTGTGCTTGACCCCACAATCGCCTGATTTGTAAATTCCGGATCCTGAGAACATGGACTTCTACATCCTAGAGTGTGCCCTGAATCTGTCTCCTTAGAACTATGACAGTTATTCAAACTAAAATCATTCATTTTATAAAAACTATTTGTATCGGCTTTGGGCATTTTATTCGTGTTATTATTTCTACTTTTTAGCTAGCTGTGCCCTTCTTTAGCGTCTTGATGGGGTTGTTTATAGCCGAGAAGCTGGAGTCAGAGGAGGGATGGTTACAGACAGCACACTAGCACACATCTGTGTCCCTGGCCAGGGCAGCAGGCTGGTCACCTCTTCTGCTGAGGCCTAGTGCTTGATGGTGATGAGGTGCTGCTGAGTGGACCTCAGGGAAGACCCCTCGCAAATGTGGAACTCTCGGCTCCCAAACAGGAGATGCTCTGTGCCGAGGGTCTCACTGTGTAACGCAGGTTGGACTTAAAAACAATTAGAATATACCCGTGCACAGGTGGGAGTGGTGCCCCAGGCCCTACATGTCTGTCTTCTGTCTTGTAGAAAGGCCTCTGACAGGCGGCCAATGGTGAGGACAGGATGTGATAGGAGCCAGAAGCCCCTCTCCCTGGACCCTCTGCTGGTGTCCAGGACCCAGATCTCACCGTGGCCCTTGGAACTGGCCTCTTCATGGGACTCCTGGTGGGCTCCATGTGGGTCTCTGGACTCACGAAATGGCAACAATGGACTTGGGAATCTTAAGGGCGGGCAGTGCATGCTTTTCATTAAGGAGCTGATTGATCTTCAAAGAGCTTAGTGTAGTTGCTTGGGGCTGACAGTGTCCCCACAAAGTTCATGCATCAGAAACTTAGTCCCCAAATTCATATGTTAATGGTATTTGGAAATGAGGCCTTTGGGAGGTCAGATGGTAGGAGGTCACGGGGTGGGGGCCTCTTTGATGGGGACACGGGAGCTTTATAAGAGAACGAGAAACCACATTGGCTCACTCCCTTTGTTACCGTGTGGTGCCCCACTGTGTCATGATACAGCATGTGGCCCCAGCAGAGGCTGACAGGCAATGGTGCCAGGCCCTGGGATTTCTGAGCCTCCAGTATTGTGATCCTGGTGAACTTCTGTTCTCTTATAAATTACTTGGTCTCAGATATTTCGTTACAGCAACCGAAAACAGGCTAAGACAAACAGTTATCTTAGAGAACCCTTGAATGAACAAAGATAGATCATTTCAAGCCTCTAAATTAAATTATTTAAGTTATTTTTGAAACAGGGGCTCACTGTGTAGTTCAACTCAGGTTGGCCTTGAACAGGTCCATCTGTCTCAACCACTGCAACTTTATTTTGAAATGATTTCAGACTTACAGAAAAGGTGCAAACACATACAGGAAGTTTGCATATATCTTTTACTCGACTTTGCTTAACATGATCAACTCACAGAATTATAGCATTATAATAAATGAGAACGTTAATATTGTACAATATACAATTGTATACAACTGCCGACTTCGTTTGAATTTCACCACTTTCCTCTCTTCCTTCATTTTCTGTTCTAGGACCCCATCCAGGCTCTGCCATTTCAGACAATTGTGGTCACCTCTCCTTAATTTCTTCCAATCACAGCATTTCTGTTGTGAAGAAAATAAAGAGGAAGAAAAATAAAATCTTTTGGTGGTGATGATAAAGTGCAAGCTAACTATAAGGACGTGAAATGATCTGTCTCCCTTTCTTCCCTCTACTTTTCTGACTCATTTTCTTTCCCAAGCAAAATTTAAATTAGCTTCATTTCCATTTGCTGTCACTGATGTAAGACCTAAGTCCTGATTTTGTTTTAAAATAGGCAAATATGGTTATTTGTTTCAAAGGCTTTAAAAGCTTCAACCATATTTCAGAATAGTCAAACACGTTTCTTGACATATGAAACGTACAATTGTGATAATCACACAGCTAATTTTCTTCCTGTGTGGTGAAGAATTTAGCTTGGCCCAGAAAGAGGTGAGACTTTTGCTTTTATCTGCTGAGAGGTGATGTCTTAGCCCTTGGAATGTCAGGCCTGGACAGGACAGTGCTCATTCCCTGGGGATCTTGGGCCACCCTGGATAATATAAAAATGTGATTTGAGCTGGGTGCCTTCACGCTGGAGCCTGGACGCCCCAGGGAGTGACAGCAGGACACGGGGTGGGGGCTTTCAGTTATGTGACCAGTTGTCTTCCACAGGGTCTGAGCCCAGACAGCAAGGGTATCCCGCAGACGGTCACATCCACCTACGGAAACCGTATTCCACACACACTGCCGCACAGCTGTGCTGGGAAAGCCACGCTCTCCTGGCTCCCTGGAGCTTACAGAAGATGCCGCAGCTGGTGTTTTCCTATGAGCTTCCTCCCAGGCTGATCGTCCTCTAACTTTTCACTGCAGTAAACTGTAGCCACGAGTATAATGGCTTCCAGGGAGATCTGTGAGTCTTTCTGGTCAATCATCAAACCCTACATTCTCAGGTGGCCCAGAAGTGAGGGCAGGGTTGCAGACTATCCTCTTGATTTTGTGGTTGATCTTTTACAGTGACTTTTGTTGCTGGGTACCGGCAATCAAACTCAGGACTTTGTACTCGACAGGCAGGCATGGTGCCACTGAGCTAAATCCCCAGCCCTACACTGACTTTAAAACTTGAACCTGAAGTTGAGGTTAGAGGAGTCTTTGCACTTGAAGATAAAAACCTTTCCTTTCCCAAGACAAATAGAGATTGTTGCCAGTGAAGTGTCATTTTCTATTTTGCAAATGCATTTCAAATTTATTTCAGTATGTTCCATTTATAGGAAAACAGAATGGTTAGAAGTTACCACACATGCACTGAGCATTGGTAGTGAGCACTGGATTTCCTTTGCACTAGTGGAGATCAACGTGTGGTAGGACCCCTGCCTTGGAGACCCTGGTGGTGACCCCTGTTGGTTTCTGTTTGCAGAAGCCATAGGGCAGGTGACTGTCACCCCACCCCAGGCCTAATGGCAAAAGGTGTGGTTCTGTAAGGAGCAGTTCTGACAGGTTCTGTGGGCAAGACCTTAGGTCATTAGGGTGCTACCCTTGGAGGGGACAATGAGACATGGTCCTCAGTCTTGCTGTTTCCTGTCTCCAGATGTGAGTGACCTCTTCCTTGCATGCACCATGGCTGCTATCTGCTGTCCTCACTGGAGGCTGGCATGGGCCACTTGGTCTTGGACTTGAGGCTCAGAGCTGTGGGCCTGATAGCTGTCTTTTCCCTTGTGAGCAACCCCTGGGGACCATGTGGCTACAGTGGCAGATCCCACAACTGAAAAGTGTATGCAGCTCATACGCTCATTGGTCTAGGCATGGAGCTTTAAAAATGGTCACATATTTTGCCAAGCTCTGAGTTCTTCAGGATCAAAAAACAGCTTTATTAGCTTTTTTTTTTCTTCAGAGAATTTCTCTTAGTGTGAACGTCTCTATATAATTCCAGTGGAGGTGGATGGGGCATGATGTTAGGCAGTGGACGTGTCTTTTCATAGGCCTAGTTCCATGGGTCTGCTGGACCTGCGTGCACGGCACAGGGAATAAACAGTGTCATCTGGGCACTTGACCTGGCCCTGATTGTTGCCGAGTTTCTGGAAAAAGAAGTTCTCATGTTTACTTGAAGAGAGAAAAGGTCTCTAGGAACAATGAAGGTTAAAAAAAAAAGAAAAAAAAAAAAAAGAAAAGATAAATTGAAGGTATCTGCAGCTTGTATGATACTTTCTGATATCAAACACTGCAGAAATAGGCTTTTGCTATGAGCACAATTTGTTCTCTGGATTTTTGAAACATGTTTATGACAAATGTCATAAAAAATTTATGACAGAAATGTCACTGTGCATATGGGCATGTGTCACTTTGTATGTGTTTGTCCTTGGTATTTTTAAAATCCCTCTGACCATTTAAAAGCATAGCTGCCTTTTAGTATTTCAGGTGTTGGTAATGTTTAGCTAAGATTTTTCCAGCATTTGATTTTGGTCTAGTCAATTTATCTGCTGAGATGCTTTAAAAATACAATTTATTGGGTTGAGAATTGAAGTGAATTGTTTTTAACGCATAACATGAACTGTCAGAAAGTATTTTCTTAAATTTTTCTGAATAACATTTTCAGAAATGTTTACAGTGATAAAAACTGAAAATATTTAATTGGAAGATTGTGTTAGTTTTCTATTGCTCTAGCAGAATATCAGAGATACATAGCTTATTTTAGCTCACAGTGTCAGAGGCCTCAGTCCATGGTCCTGGCCCATGGCTCTCAGACCTGTGGCTATACAGGACATCACAGCATGAAAAAAACACGATGAAAAGGAGCTGGAGTCAGGGCCATTCATGGGCTATGGGGGGAGCGAACCAGGCCTCAACAGGAGGGGATGCTCCCTGGAAACCATATCATTTTCATTGCTTTGCTGGGTTGGGTTTATTCTCTTTTGTTTTGTTTGATTATGTTAAATCTGATAGCAGGGCAGCTATTGAAAAGATAGCAAGACATATTTATGGTAGTCATTTTGGATTTACTATTGGCTTGTTTTGAAGTCCTTTATTGCATTTATTGTTTTGTTTTTATTGTTTCTATTTTACTCTGTTCTGTTCAATTTTTACTATGTCCGAAGGTATCTGCAGCTATTTGGAAGACAACAAAAAGCATTATGGTAACTATTGTTGATTTTGTAAGGTTTTGAAGCCCTGTATCACTTATACTGGTTTATTTTGATTGGTTTTATTCTGTTTTATTTTCCTTGGTTTTATCCTGAAGAAAATAAAAAGGAGTTGGAGTCCCTGTAGCCTCGTCAGGATATGCCTGCTAAGACCTAACTTCTCTTCATCAGCTCGCACTTTCTGCAGGTCCCACCACATCCTACTAAGCACACAGGCCGTTGGGGTCAAGGTCCAAACCATAACAAAACTTCTCCACGTTTAAAAATGCTTACAATAAAATCAGAGGCACAATATTTCTCTAATCTTTCTACAAATAAAGGAAAAGTTGCTCAGTGTAAGGCCCTTGTTCCTGTTCACATGGCTGGAGATCTCAGGCAGGCACTGTCAGAGCACAGGCCCCGGAAACCTTGGTAAAGAGGCACTGTCACCTGTCCACTCCCAAATACAGGGACTTGCAGAGCCCTTAGTGCTCCTGCGGGATGTGATGGTGTCTCCGAAGGAGGTGCTGTTGATGCCCTCTTGTGTCACCTGAGCTGGCCTCCAGCATTGCTGGACAATTCCCTCTATGTGGGAGGGTTCTGACCTCCATGAATTTTCCTGACTCTGAGTGTCCGATCCCAGGGACGGGTAGAATGCATCCATGAATCTACCTTCAGCCAAGACGAGCAGGGCCCGGAGTATGATTCCCATGAGCCACCCTTCCCAGAGGCTTTTCACCTGTGCCCTGCATCTCCTCAGGATCCCAGAGGGATGGCACCTAGACTGCTGTCCAGAATTGCACACACTGCAGGCTGGGACCCTCCTTTCCTTGACTGAGCATCTCCAGGACTCATCTTGGAGTCCACAGAAGCTGCCAGGAACCAGGAAACACCATGGCCTGTCGCTGGGATTGCAGAGTTGGTGAGTTCCCAACTATGCAAGGGATGGAGCATTAAAGGAAGTGTCTGAGCCCTTACAGGAAGGGATTTCTAAATCTCATAGACCAAGGATACACATGAAGCATGCGTGCGTGCACATGCACACACATGAGTGACAGAAGATAGTGTCACAGACAAGAGAGTGTTTCAGATTACAGACTAAATTCTACAGACTAGGAAGGGCTGGGAAAGTGGACCTCAGGGAAGACAAAATCCTCAAAGCTTTACATTTCCACAAGGGCAGATAAAGCTTTGTGTGTTTATTGCCATTTTCAGATATATTCTCAGTGCTGATACTGTTTCAGGACAACTGTGGCCCATTTGCTGCTCAGCCCTGGTAAAGACAGAAGCACACAGGAGCAGAAGGAGGGGGCAGACGGCCTCGCAGAGAGCACATTCCAGGCCTCTGGCTTACCAGGTGCTCCCAAAAGTTATTGGAAGCTAAGCGTTTATTGACGCGAGAATAGATCTGTAAAGCTGAATCTAGACTGAATCGAGACCCACTGTGAACTGTGGGTTGGTTTTCACCAGTTTCCGAGCCCCTCCGCTGGGACTCAGGACGCTGGCAGGCGCCCCGCAAGGGTGGCGATGTGGGAAGTTGGGGAGAGGAGGGAAGCCTGCCCAAGGCAGAGTCAGAAAGGACTGCAGAGGTCTTGGATTTGCTTCCGGGCTCATTCTGAGTGCAGGCTGCAGTGGGGTGCAGACAGCACTGTCTCCCTTGGCAGTGACAAGTGTCCCTGGGGTCGGGACTTGCGCGGTGCGTGGCAGAGCTGGCCACTCCGTCCACAGGGCAGGGGTGGAAGGTGGCGACCTGCTCTCACCCGGATCAATCCTGCTGCACATTCTGGGAAGGGATCACAGCTAGGGTAAGCCAGGTCCTAAAGACGTCGTTGCAGCGATGCCCCAGCAGGTGGCACCCGTGCGCCGCGAGTGGTGCTGTCCTCCGTGTGGTCCGCCTTGGAGCCCCACGGAGCAGGTCCCCTCCACCCAGAGGCAATGTGGGGAGGTATCACCTACCACCCAGTGCCGCCTTCGCACCCTGCTCAACAGAGGTCCGTATCCCTGGGCCCATGAGAAGATTTGAGCGTCCACTGACACTGGACTGTGTCTAAAGCCCCTTACACCCCACGAGGCGCACTGGTGCGCAGCAACCCACAGGTGTGCAGTTTCTATCTGTTCATTACACAGACGCAGCCAGCTCTGCACAGTGCTCACCAGCCTCCTGCTGGGACACACCTAGCCGAGTGCTCCCTGAGCTGGGAGAGCCTAGCTTGCAGCCCCTGGTCCCTGAGAAGCCTCCGGAGCAGATCAGGCAGAGGAAGTCATCTCCACAGCTAGGCCCCCGGTGTCCCGGGCCGTGCTCTGCCGAGAAGGATGCTTGGATTCTGGTGCGCATCTGCCCGCCACAGGTCCTGTAAGGGAGCTGTCACAGTAGTGGGCCCACGAACTCCGCTGCAGAATCTTCCAGTGCCTCAGCTTGCAGAGAGCAGAGGCCGAGTCCTCCCTGTGGTCTGCAGTCCCCGATTTCTCTGACCTCACTGGCCTGTGTGGCTGCCCATTGCAGTCTGTCCTCTAGTGCCTCCCTGCAGGTTCCTGCAGGACCCCAACACCGTGGAGACCCAGGAGCCGGTGCCTCTGCCGCATCCTCCTTCCCCTCTCATCCCCTCTGGCACAGTGGTTGTTGGCTCATTCATCACCTACTGCTCTTTAAAAAAAAAACAAAAACAAAAACAAAAACAAAAACAACAAAAAAGTATTTATTAGTGCATGTTTGCAACGCATAATGACTATTTTCATTGCAGGTATTTGATGCATGTACACGACACATCTCAGCTCTTTTTAATTCCCTTTCCCCCACTCTTTGCTCTTCCCTCTGTTTCATGGTCTTCTTCCCATGTGCCTCCCTATTTTCTTTTATCTAAGCTTTATTTTATTTTATTTGGTTTTTGCTTGGATTTCTCATATGAAAGAAACCATACAGTTTTTAATCTTATTTCACTTAACATTGTTTTCCAAGTACACCCATTTTCCCCTACAAATGACTCCACTCTACCTTTCTTTTTTTTTTTTTTTTTTGGTTGGGCAGGTTTTTTTTTTTATTGGCAGTTTTTCAGAAAACTTTTAAAAATGAAATTAAAACACCTGAATCTGTCATTGTGACCCTATAAAGTCTAATCGAGGTATCTTGATTATATGTGGTATTGTTTACACAGTTAATAGTCACATGTGAAGCTATTGCACAAATAAATAATCAGTGTTAAAATTTATCTGGCTTGTCTTGTTTTGCCGTAAGAATCAGCTTAGAAAGTGTGTGGTCTGCACCTAAACCCACATTAGTTATATTTTAATAATATGCAACATTTCACATAGGAGAATGGTTTATTATAAAAGATTACACATAAAAATTAGACAATAGGTTATATACAAATTGAGGGAACATTCAACTTGAAAAAGGGAAGTAGAATCACTAATGATACTTTTGTTTAAAATTAAAGGCAAAATGCATATGAAGCAGTCACATTGATTTGGCAGCAATAATGGTCTTTAATTTTCAGAAATAAGTGTTTGTACTAGTCTCACTACTTACTATACTGCTTTAAGTCTGTAACGCCCCCAGTATATAACTGAAATTTGAAATACAAATAAATCCTTAGTACACAGAAACCCACAATGGAGTGCTCTACTTTAAATTCCTAAGCAATAAAGAATTATACATAAGATAAAAAGAGAAAAAAATCCATCTCACTTCCCTTGAGTTAAAACAAAACACACAAAGTGCATGTGTTCCATTTCAATTTTGTCAAAAGACACTACAGATCTGTTGGTTATATAAGTGTATCGCTTCACTAACACGTGATTCACCCTTCCCAATTCTTTTAAAACCTTGTGTTGCTAGTGCCAGGCAATGGATTAATTAAATAATAATGACTATTCACAAATAAACTGCATCCACTTTTACAATATGTAAAAAATGCTTATGCGTTCCTTTTATTGAACCAGTGTACAACAGTCCACTGTGAAACAGAAGGACTACCATGGCATTCCTTAAGAATTTTACCTACAGAACGATGTGTGTACACTTTGAAACATTTCCTTTGCTTTAAAAGTTACTTTAAAAAAGGAATTCAGTAGATTGACTTGTAAATAATCATCTAAGATTTTAAATCTGCAAAACTCCATCACTGTGCTTTGGGACACATTGAGATAAGGCTAATTTTTTTTCCAAGTTAATATATTGTGAAAATAGAACCATAATTCAACAATAGGTCAGTTTTTGTATTTTTAAAAAAGAGAACCAGTGAAGGAAAGGACAAAAACCTTTGGTTCACTTATGTACTTATGAGTGAAAAAATTTATAATGCAAATTCATTCATTAAAAAACTTAAGTTACAAATTACGACATTACAGGTAATTCATTTTGTTTCTTTCACATGAAGACCTTAGCAACTCACCTAATACGAATATTCCAGGAAGTGGTACACAAATGGGAAGCATCTTGGAATTTTTAAGTATATTTCAATACATAAACTTTATGCATGCTTTAAACAAATAGTTTTTAAAAATGAGAGAATCTAAACAAAAAGTATGACCAGCACCAGCATTTAAGTTTCTGATTTTAGTATTAGTCTGACATAGCATTAGTAACCATGCTGCACTGAAACATGTAATGTAATCTCAGTCATGATTTGTTAAATATGCCTCACTTTCCCAGAATATTTAGGCTGGTCATAAAGTTAATAATGTATAATCATATAAGCATAATCATTTATGGGCAGTCCATTGTATAAGTTGCAGTTTAGCAAAATACAAACTGCCACTGAGATTTATGCTAAGAAGGAGACGACATTCAAATATACCAATAGACAGCATGGCTGAAAACATGGGTACTTTTTTTTTTTTTTTATTTTATTTAAGGAGAAAAAAGAAAAAAAAAAAAACAGAAAAAGGGTACAAGTTATACAGAATTTCAGAAAAAATAAATAGTAGGAAATCACTAGTTAATAGATTACATATTGTCATCTTAGAAATAGTTGTTCAAGTTACAAAATTAAAGCATATAGAGTGGACATTCAAACAGTGAGACTGTAAACAGTTCTGTTCAATGATCCAACAAAACTCAGTAATATGGTTATCTATCTTATACATTTAAATATACATGCAGTTATGTCCTTTAGAGCACTTTCTTTTCTTCTCTTTTGTACAATGACAATTACACATTTTGGGTTTTATTACTCCCACAGTTCTTATTATTTTTTTTAAAGAGAGTAAAACCAAATGTGATATAGCAGGACAGAGTCAGTCAAATCAAAAGGATGGACATAATACATAATGTAAAAACAAAATACAAGGTGATCAACAATGGTTATCATAATGCCTCTTGCTATCTTAAAAAGAATTGCCTATATCATCAGTTATAATAAAATTGAACAAAACAGTAAAGAACAAAACCAATAAAACCAAAACATTGGGCACATTAGAGGACTTCAAAAGAAGATAATAGTCAACCAGAATGGGCGTCATAATGAATCTTATTGTCTTCATAGTTGTTGCCTATACTTCCGAACCTGGTACTATCAAGCAAAACAGAATAGAGGAAAATCAGTCAAAACAAGATGGTGAGAGCAATATAGGGTTTCAAATCAAGTTAATAGGAAATCAAAGTGGGTTACTATAATATATATTTTTATTTATTTTTCCCTTAATTAAAATGATAAAAATGAAAAAGTAAATAATAAAAAAAGGAGATTGAGATAAAAGAGGGCATAACAACAAAACAGCGCAGGTCAAAACATAACCATTTAAGCAAAATAGTGTTTCACCACAAGATAATCCCGACATTAAAGTAGTTACCATAGTGTCTCTTTCCTTGAAATCTTTGAGTATAATTTCGTATACTGTAGCATCAAACATATCAAGACAATGTAAAACCGTTCAAGAGAATGACAGTATTACAGGGTATTTAGAACCAACTAACAGAAAATGAACAATGGTTTCTGTAGAATCTCCTTGTCTATAAAAGTTTTTGTTTATATTATCACATATAATAAAATCCAATAAGATGCAACATGTTAAGACCGATGGGGACAGAAGAAAAAAAGCTTGATGGGAACATGGGTACTTTTTAAAACTTAGGACAATTCTGTTAACCATAATAGTTCCACAGTATGACTGAGTAATAAGAATCTACTTCAAAAGCAAAAAAATAGGGGCTGGGGATTTAGCTCAGCGGCATAAGCACCTGCCTTGGAAGCAGGCGGTTGTGAGTTCGATCCCTGGTACCTATAAAAATGAAAAAGACAAAAAAAAAAAAAAAAAAAAAAAAGCTAAAAAATAAAAAATTAATCACTATAGTGCGTGATTGATTCAACATAGTTCCCAGGGAAGAGACCAGTCATTCATTTGCAGGCCCCTTCATACCAGCCATCGTCGTTCTTTATCACGTAAATGATTTCACCCTCCATAAACGACAACTCATCATTCTTGTCTTTTATATAATCATATATTGCAACAACTTTCTCAGGCAGGATTCCCATCTGCATATGGGTCATTATCCTGGACTACTGCAGCTCCCTCATCTTCACAGTCCACTGGGGGAGGAGGCGGGGGAGGTGGAGAGTCAGCAAATACGGGAATGTCATCTGGTGGAGGTGGTGACGGTGGAGTTGGGCTGTCAGCAATATTTTTCTGCACCCTGGCCACGAAGCCTGTGCGAGGTATCTGTGGAGTCAATTGAGGCATCGGGGGAAGGAGCGAGCAATAGAAATTGAATTTTGGGCGTAAAGTGGACCTCCATTAACATGAGGCTGAGCAGAAAACTGAGCAGTCACAGAGGGAGTTTGTCTGTATCCTCCAGAAGATGTCGAGGAAGTGGTAGAGTTGTATTGAGAAATCTGCCTGGTCATTGTGCCGTACTGGGAACCAGGAGCCGAGCCCGGGGCAGCTGATCAGTAGTGGATGGGGAAGGCTTAGGTACAGCAGTGGGAATGCCAATACTACTGCTCCCACTGTCCTCTCGGCTCCTTCTCCTCCACTGCTTCCACTGTGTGTCCTTGGTCTCTGATTTAAAGAAGCTCTCCTGCCTGGACTATGCTGACCTCCAAGTCTTGCAGGACTGGTCATGTAATCATTAGGGACTATTGGGAGTTTAACAGGCTCCAGGATTTTGTAAGGAGTATTTCGCCCCAATGCTCCCCGGCCTGACATGGGAGGTGGTTTCTGACTTGGTGGTTTCTGAGTAGGAGGATTTGTTCTCGACAGTGTGCCAGTTCTTGCAGGCTGGTTATTTCCATGCTTGACATCATGGCCCACATCATCCAGAACTGTGTAGTCAATAGGTTTCCGAATATACCTTACACTCTACCTTTCTTTTCTTTTTTAATTTTTTTTATCGGTACCGGGGATCAAACTCATGACCGCCCGCTTGCAAGGCAGTTGCTTATGCCGCTGAGCTAAGTCCCCAGCCTCACTCTACCTTTCTTTGCAGCAGAGTAGAGCTCCACTGTGTGTCAGCACCACATTTTCTTTACCCAGTCATCTGTTGGTGGCTACGCAGGCCACTTCCAACATTGAGCTACCATGAACTGAGTCGCTGTAGACTTAGGTGTGCTTGGGTCCCTGTGACCTGATGTTTGTAACTCTTTCAGCAGAGAAATGGCTTGGTCAAATTCACGTGCTGCTCTTGGCCACTTTGTGTTTCAAGAATGGGAGCTCTGAGGGGCCTGGCCTACGTGGCTCCTGGGTGTGTGTGTGCCAAATGCCTCAATTATTTGCATGAGGCAGGTCCTCTGCATGTATTTTTTGAGTGAATAAAGACAGAAATGAACCCTAGAGAAATCCAAGAGAGAATCCTAGAGAGAATCCAAACACTCAGCACTCTTTAGATTCTAGCCATTTTTTTCACTAGCAAATGACCTAGAAAAGGTTGGGCAATGTTTTAATAGGTTCCTGCTGGGGTCCACGAATGCACTGCTTTAGGTGAGAGACAAAACTCCTGGAACTCATATTTGCCCACAAGTCCCATGAACTCAGGTTCGGACCTTCATTTGGGGCCATAAAGAGCCAGCACAGTAGAACATGCCTGCAATCCCAGCTGCTTGTGCGGTGTACGTGGGAGGATTACAAGTCCAAGGACAGCATGGGCAGCTTAGTGAGATCCTATCTAAAGGAAATAGGATGACAACCAAACCAAACTTGGAAGCTGTGTTTGAAAAGGCCCCTGGGGACCTCCACATCCACCCATTGTGAGTGTTGTCCCTGGTGAATCATG